TCTCTTATCTTTCCATAGCCACCAAGTGTGCATCATTTGGACAATCACAGCCCAAGTTATGCCCCAAAAACCGAGACTTGTCAAACAGCCCAGCGAGAAACGATTTTAACAAATAAAATTCCGATTTTGACCTTCTATACGACAGAATGTGAAAATGGATTCTTCATGAAAGTTGTAGGGTTTTCTCTTAGATTTCCATTGTCACAAAGTTTGTATCATTTGGATAACTAGAGCCCAGGTTCTGCCCCAAAAACCGAGGCTTGCCAGTCAGCTTAGCGAGAAACAAAAAAATACACAACTATCTAATTAAACCCAACAACACACATATTTCTAAAGCCTACAATTAAGCATAAATGAAATGTGAATTAGCTACAATTGAAGTATAATCACAAAATTATGACCAAATACCATATAATAATAATAAAAACTGGGATGTTACATGATGAAAGGGTCGTAATGTTAATATAGAGGCAGTTGGTGCGACAGTTGATGAAAGGGTCGCAATTCCAAGTTTGCGACGGTTTGTGCAACGGTTCTGATAACTGGCGCACGAAAAATGGGCTGTTACAAGAGGGCTGGACTAAAATGGCATAGTTCCATTTAGGCCATCATTTTTAAGGCCCAACCTAGTCTTATTTTTTAGCCAACCCATTGGATCAGACCTAAATTGACAACTCTATTTATGTAGAGGTTGGAGAAAAATGACGATAATACCAACTGATAAGTAACTAGATCTACACAATGAAAGGTATGATAAGGTCCAACAAACCTATGTGATAATTTCTTGGATTTTATCGCCCTTCCCACACCAGTAGTGGATATCACATTCAAGAATACATGTTCCCCTTCAATAAACTTAAGAGGTCCCCTCTTCTTATTATCATGACTTCTGCCTTCTCTAGGTAGTCTTCATCATCTCCTAAATCATCTTCACCTTTTCAGTAGTCATTAAAACCAATTCTAGTGCTACCATTATTAATTTACCATCCTTTTACCAGCATAAAGGAATCATACACCTTCTCTTATAGAAAGCCTAATCAAATGGTGTCATTTAAATACTGACATGAAAATTGTTATTATAGATAAACTTCATCAATAATAACATTTTTTTTCCAACTTCCCAGCGCATAAAATCTAAGTAAATCATCCAAATGTTTATTATAATAATATAAGATAATATAATTATACTAATAAGATACTAATAAAATTATTAAAAATCTATTTAATGTTTTTAAAACTAATTATATTTTTAAAATTAACTTTAATATATATTCTTTCTTCTATTTTTCTTTTACCTAACATTCTTTATTTATTATTTTTTTCTTTACTTTTTTTCTTTATTTTTTATCTTTACCAAATATGACGTAAAATACAACAAAGAAAGTATTAATATTACATAGAACACAGTGAAAGTATAATAAAGAAATTATTTTCATTTTTTATACAATCAATATGCACCTAAATAACCTAATTACTTAAAAGACGTCCAACAATATCCGCTAAGTAACGTCTTCAATGTGCATCGTGCTACATTTATATAGCTAACAATAAAAAATTGAAAATATATAATATCTTTTAATCCAATCGTCAATGATATTACAGAAATCATTGAAAGTGAAATGTCATCCCATCACTGCTGCGGCTTCAATTTAAAATGAAAAATTCTATATCTTCCGAATTGTATTCCGAAAATTCTTCCAAAACCTTAAAAAGTTATTTTAAATTATAAAATATTAAATTAAATAATTATTTTACAATAAATTTATTAAAAAGTATAAATATTTTAAACAATGGAAACGTGTTTCAAATTTGTCGGCAGGAGGATGTAGTATTAATCCTCATTTAAAATCTTTCAGATTCGTCATTAATATATCTGAACGTGCAGCTAACTTGTGACAATAACGTGGTTCCCCATGTTAGATTTCCTTTTTACACCCTACACTTCAGCTCATTCATTATCTCACCAATACCTAACCCTACTTTTATAGCTATTTATATGGTTGGGAGGATAATCAACTTTATATTATTAATTTAAATATATTAAAATTTATAAAATCATGAATACAAGTAATTAATTATATAAGAAGTGGGACAAGCATAATTTATACTTAATTTAATACTAAAATTGTACAAGAAATTATATTTTTATAATTGAAAAAATTTCAATGACAAACTTTTTCAACACTTTTGTTCATCAAAATTTGTTAAAATTATAAAATCGTGTAGATTTCACTATTCATTGTTAAGTGAATCTTACTTACGAATATGTTTGAACAAAGAAACATTTCATAAAAAAAGAAAAGTAAAGTAAACTTTTTTCATAAACTAATTATTAAAATTAGTGAATACATAAGTTAATTTTTTTTAAAAAAAATTAATACAAGTAAATTAATTTATACATATATTAATTTTATCTTGTCTCTATTTTAGAAGTGCATTATCTAAATAGACCCTTATAATTTTATAATTTTAAAGAAGCATAATAAATTTTAATCCACAAAGCATGTATATTCCAAAAATAGTATATTAGAAAATTTATTACTCCTCATGCTGTTCTTTCTTTTATATTGGAAAAATTGTTGATCTAATACATTCCAATTTTTTTTTTTTAAAATTAAACTATAAAATACTGAATTAAATAATTATTTTACAATAAATTTATTAAAAAATATAAATATTTTAATATTCAGACGCTGTTTGGTTTCCTTTTTTTGGAAAGTGTAGCAACTCTCTTTATATTGTCATATGGTATCCTGCACGCAAGTAGTAGTAGGTGGGGTCCACAGAAGAAGACGCGAGAATTTTGATAGAGACCCCACCACGCGTCTCACTTAATTAAATAGAAGCAATGTTCCGTAACCAACTATATCCACAGAAACAACACCCCAACACGATGCTATTGCTAAATATTAATCATCGTGTGCACCAATTCAGCATTAAGAGTGCATTCACCCCATTGTGCACACATAATAAGAAAAGCACTCGCAATCGTTGGTTATTGAGCCAACGACGTAAACAGTGTAGTTTCCCAAGTGTTCGAGGGCAGAGAGAGGCTCGCATAGGGTGCACGATGACGAGAAACATTGGCGTCTCCAACGACACTAGAACTCACAATGTGAAGGCCTTTGTGACCGTGAAACCAAGTGCTGGCCTCCTAACGAATCTCGTTAGAGGTGGTGTTGAAAGGATTGAAGAGTTCATTGGAAAAACAATTGTTTTGGAGCTTGTTAGTGAGGAGCTTGATTCGAGTAAGTTTTAACTTCTTTTGCACTTTTCATTTCCATCTTTATATATATATATTGAGGATGAATTAAATGACTCTAAGAGTAATTTTTTATAAAATTATTTTACTTTATAATTCATGGGATATATTTAATTTTAATAATTAAATTGTTAAATTAAAAGTTTTTAATATATATAAAATTTACAAAATTTTAAAAAAAAATTTAAAAACTTTAAAATAATGTTTAAAATAATTTTTTGATTATCCGTCAATCTAAATTAATTAAATGAAGTATCAAATAATTTTCAATTTTTTTTAAAATTTACAGATTTGATCAATAAATTAAGAACTTTAAATTCAACAGTTGGATCGTTGAAATTTGATGTGAAACATGAGTTAATGAACTGAGTAAGTCTAGGTAAACTTACTCATAGAATAAAAAGATTCTTCCTCTATTTTAATATATAAGTTATATTAAAAATTATATAAATAAATATTTATTAATAAGTAGATTATATTTTATATTTATGATAAATAATTTATATTGTGATGAGATTATTGAATAATAATTTATTTTAAAAATATTAAAATTTATTTTATAAATAAATATGATAAATAAAAATTGAATTAAATAAGAACTTAAGAAAATTCTTAAAATATTTTTCATTGAAAAAATAACTTAAAAATATTTTCACTCAAAATAATCAATCATATTTAATATATAAAAAAATTAGTGTTATTTTTCATTGACACAATTATAATTTAAGACATAATTTATGATTTTCAGTTGTTATCAAAGATTCATTCCCTTAAAAGTAAAAAAGAAAAATCTTTTAAATAAAAAAATGGTTAGTTGAAATGGTTCTATATTTGTATTCCTTAATAAAAATTTAGATTGAATATTCATTTTGATCATAAAGTCACCACTAAATGTACTATTTTACTCTTATCAAGAGAAAACGTTGCTTTTGCTCTGTTGGCTAAAATACTGAGTCGATTGGCTAAAGCTTACTTAAAATGGAAAATAAGATGGAAAAAGATAATATTGCTATGTTTTTGGAGTACTTCTCTGGACGTTCTCATCCATTGCAGATCATAACTCCCCTCGTAACCTATTTTTAGCCTCATACTGTAATCTATCTGGCCCACTCAGAAGATCACAATCCTTAAAAGTCCAATTCTTTCGTTTTTGATAAAAGATAAACCAAAAAGAAAAGACAACCATTGATGTAATGCCACACTTTTATTTGCACTAGAAGCGGGTATGGGGCCCCACTTCTCAACGTGATTCAAAAAAGTTTTAAAAAATTTAGTGTGGCATTCGTAAAAAAATAAAATAAAATAAAATTGATCTATGTATCAATTTTGTAATATGGATGTCGCATGACATACATGGACGTGCTACGTGGCGATCTCGTGTAATGTCACATGATGTCTTCATGTAGTACTATGTGGTATTCCGTGCGATGTATGGCATAACACATACTTCACATATATACGCGGATGACATGTCATGTTGACTTGTATTTTTGTTAATAAGAATAGTTGACAAAAAAACGTGTTAAAAGTGGACGATTTCCTTTTTAGAGAAATTAACAACTAAAGTTTCAAATAGTTGACCTTTTTAGTCAACCTTTATTATTTTTATTTTGTGAGTCGTGACGAAGTTTTAGGGGTATAGTAAAGTAATATCAAGTTATTTATTATAAATATAGGTGGACATATATGAAATAGTCCGCTACATTTTGTCCAAATTATTTTGGTATATATTTAAATAGATGGGATATATCAAATTCATTAATTAAATGGATTATATATTTGTTATATCTGTGTCCAATCTGCTTAGTCAATATATATGAATGAATATTGGTTAGCAGGTCTAAGAATAAAAAAATATAAAAATTGAAAATATAAGAAAATAAAAAAAAATAAAAGATATTGGAAAATTTGAAAGTTATAAATTATTGATAAATTCAAAATTAGATTGTTTACTCAGTTAATTTTTTTTGGAAAACATGAACTGATTAAGTATACAGAAAATATTTGAAAGTGTAAGAGTACACTAATGACTAACAATCATCATTAAAAAAATGTCAACAAAATCAATTGTTTTGAGTCTTCAAAATCAATTGTAGAACTGATTTTATTTCTCTTAATATTATATCTTAACACTTTTAAAATTGGATGTTGACATTAAAATCTAACGTTATCTTTAATACTTTTTATTTATTTATTTTTATTCCTTAACAAATAACTTTAAAACATTGGTTAGCACAAACCCATATTTTATTATTTTATTTATTTAGTATTTCATATTTTGACACAACATTAATAAATAAGCTTGCACCAAAAAAAGTCATTTTTACAATTATTAAACAATAAAGCTATTAATTAATAAATAATTAACATTTTAAAATTATTTAATGTCTCAACTGGCCAATAGCCCACAAATCTGACCTCATATAACGTCTAAGTTAAACAAATAAAACCAAAAATCTTGAATTTAAATGAAGTATTTTAATTTACCAACCCACTTACTCCATAGATTAAAAGTACCACTGAGATCTAAATAAGATGGATAAGTAGAGTGCGTGGATTATTATTATAAATCCATTGGCATCAAATTCACTAATGAAAAAAAATCCATATAGAGTAAATAGATCATTTTCGAGTCAATAACTTAAATACCCACCTCCAGTTACCAAGTTTGTAATTAAAATTCTTATATAGGAGTAAGGATTATCATGATATCATGAATTAATGAATGGTGAATAGTTGTATATATAAACAGCTCTTTAGATCTTCTCATGTGATATTATTGTCCAATAATAAAATCTCAACCTTTAATTATAAATATTAGAGAGATTTTAATAATAAATAAAATCTTAGAAATTCAATCAAATTACAAAATATATTTCTCTTGGTAAATGAAAGTTTTACACACTACAAGAAAATTGACATGTAGTGGCATGCCTTATAATGACACAATAAGTATTACTAAAAGGTATTTTTATCCACATACTAAATACAACATATGTTGATATATTGTTAAAAATTATTGGTATATGTTATAATGACACATAAAGTATGTTATTAAATTACATTTAAAATCAATATTTAAATTACATGTAACTATATGTTAAATAGATATATACTTACATATATTTAGTTTTAGTGACTCTCTCACTCGTGTTTTTACTTTCATTACCCTTTGTTTTCTGTGAATAAAGAAACGAACCAAGAGAGAGAGACAATAAAAGGTAATGCACACAAGACTGAGGAAAAAGATAATGAGGTGCATTATGAGGCCACATTTGAGGTACCAGCAGAGTTTGGAAAAGTGGGTGCTGTATTGGTTGAGAATAAACACAACAAGGAGATGCTCTTAAAGAAGATAGTCTTTGAAGGCTTCCCTGATGGCCCTGTGCAACTCACTTGTCATTCATGGGTTCAGTCAAAGCATGATAATCCAGTGAAGAGAGTCTTCTTTACTGACAAGGTTAGTATCATGAGATTTATTTATTTATTTAGTTACGAGGAAAAATGTTCAGATTTTAGTGATGATGAGGGCTTGTTTGATTAAAGTTTCTAAAATTGAGGTTAATTTTTATGATGAAAAAAGTTTGTATTATTAATTAAATTAAAAATAATCACATTGATATAATTTTAAAGTTAAATAATGTATAAATCAACAAATTTACTATACATGGTAATTTATAATTAAAGGATAATCAGATAAAATTATACCGGCAATATACATACCAATTACTTTCTAAAAATTCTTTTATAAGTTGAGATGCCTATTTATTCTGTCTTTTTTAAATTTTAGCCTTAAAAAGTACAGATTTTAGAAATTGAATGAGGAAAACTTCCTTAGAATGTTTTGAAGACTTATTATTGTTAGAAAATATTACTATAAAAATAGAATGTTTGATTCATGGGGCAACCACCTTGTCTTAAGGACTCTTAACATCCTAATTATGTATGTAAATTGCACAAAGCCATTTATGGCCCGCGACAAGTCCCTTGAGCTTGGCATGAAACATTGAAGCACTTAATCACCTCAAATGGATTCCAAACCAGTACATGTGATCCTTCTTTATTTTATACATGCTTCGAAGGCACCAAAACATATTTTTTGGTGTATGTTGATGACCTATTCCTTACTGGAAATGATACCCACTTCTTTCATGATTTCAGTGAAGCTCTCTCTCAACGTTTCTCCTTGAAAAACTTAGGGGCTCCATATATACTATTTTTTGGGTATAGAACTATTTCCCACACCTTTTAGACTTTTTCTTTCACAACACAAATATATTAGAGAATTCCTTGAGCAGTTTGACATCGAAGGGGCAAAACCATCTCCTACACCTTTATCCTAGTCATCTAATTTCCATCTTCATGACAGAACACCTTCTATGGATGCAATTGAATATCGTAAAATCATAGGGGCACTGAAATTTTATGCCTTACAGACTTGCTCAACGAGTTACATGTACCCACTTGTTCCCCACCATGACTCTTGTGTGATAATGTAGGTGCATCATACCTATGTTCCAATCCAATTTTGCACTCATGTACGAAATATATTTGATTTGATTATTACTTTTTATGGGAACAAGTTCAAGCTAAACAATTAATTGTCTCTCATGTTTCCACAAAAGACCAGCTTGCTAACATCTTAATCAAGCCATTAGCCACAACTTGCTTCATGATCTTACAGCCAAGATGAAGGTTACAGTTCATCCTAAAGGGGTGTAATAGATAAATTATAATAGATTATCTTTTTCTAATAGATAAACTATAACAAATTATCTTTTCACTACAACAAAATAGACTTTTAGTGGCATTTAATATGACTTTTAGTGGTAATAAAAATTATTACAAAATCTTTTACCGGCATTTTCACATTAGCCATTGTATGCAGTGTCGCTAAAATATTTAGCGGCAATTATTTAAAATGCTGGTAAAAATCCTTAATGGTCGAAAAAAGTGTATATCTTTTTGTGACATTTTTTACTTTCTAGTCGATGTGGGACTTGTAAGATGAGTACAAATAAATAATTACTTTATCTCTAGTTGATGTGGGACTTGTAAGATGAGAGTTATCTTTCTACTTATATATTCTTTTTAATTACCTTATTTCTAGTTGATGTGGGACTTTAAGATGAAGGTTGTCTTCTAATTATATATATATATATATATATATATATTATTTTCTGATCAATAGTCGACCCCCTTAAGTTTAAAGATTATTGAGCTTGATAATAGTGAGTAATCTCATACTAATTTAGAATAATAAGTTATAGGTCTAACTCAATCCTACATAACAAACTTGTAAGGTGAGAGTTATTATTCATTTATATACTCTTTAGTTATCTTATTTCTAGTTGATGTGGGACTAAAGTTTTTCTTAATAAATAATTGTCGCTAATAGTAAATTTTGGTGTGATATAAATATATTTTTAGTGACCATTATATATTAGTCACTAATACTTTTATTAAATAATAAAACAAAGGCAATTAATTTATTGCCGGTAAATAATTGTCGGTAAAAATGAATTTTGTTGTAGTGTTTCTTATTAGCCACAACTTGCTTCACGGTCTTACATCCAAGGTGAAGGTTAAGTTCATCCTAAAGGGGTATAATAGATAAATTATAATAGATTATCTTTTTTAATGATTCAAACATTGAATTAAAAAATTTTAATGTATAAATTAAGTTTATAATTTTTTTAAAAATTTGAAAACTATTTGATCAAGGTTGTCAATCTCGAGAGTTTATGTAATCTCGTGGAGACTACGTAAACTCGTATCATAAACTCGTAAGAGATTACTCAATAAAAAAAAATAAAAATAAAAAATAAAAATAACATAATAATTAAACATTTTAACTCTATATTAAAGAGTAAAATAGAAAATTACATTAATAATAAATGTTCTTAACAAAAGTTCTTAACAAAAGTTCACACAAATGACAAAACACAAGTTCTTAAAAATAGACAAATAAAAAATTAAAACATCACATGAGTAATATCTTCAAATTTTCATGTCTAATCCTCTAATAATATCATCTCCAACTCCAAGGTCTTCATCATCATTTCCATCAACATTTTCCTCGGATGAATGCTCACTGCTAAGATCATCATCAAAAACCATTTTGTCAAGATGAAATGCATCCAAAGTTGGATTACTTAAGCTTGAACCTCCACCATCCAATTGCACATTAACACCATCACCTCCACCTTCTCCTTCACCTTGAGGTTGCTCAACATCAACATTCTCTTAACCAACATTGTCTCCTTCTTCAACTATCCATTCATCATTTGATTGAATATCATCAAATGGAAGAGTAATTGTTTTTCTTATTACTTTACTTTTTTTAACTTCAAGTTGTACATGACATACACCAAGTCATTCATCTTTTTTTGATGCAAGCGGTTTCTCCTTTTTGTATGAACCTAGAAAATAATATAAAAAAATATTATGATCAATTGATCATTTAATTTAAGTCTAAAATTAAATAAAGAAATTTGAAAACCATAAAAAGGTCATGAACTTCAATCACCATTTCAAATGAGCTCCAATTACACTCACATCCAGAAGAACTACAAATCAAGCTTAAAACACGAATGACAAACCTTTTCAATTCTAGACAATGATCCCCGAACATCCCCACCATTCTGCAGGAAGCATTGCCTTCCTACATTCCTTTGCATCATCCAGGCCAAAAGGTCCTCTAGTATAATGAAACTCAAAAAACTGCATATTATTTTTTTTTCTTATTGCAGGATCCTTTACCAATCTCTTCATATAGTCTAACAACCCATGCTTCACCTCATGATCATCATTTCTAAAATTAGCTTCATAATGTAATTGATGATTAAGATAATATCCAGCTGCATGTAAATGCCTATGAAGTTGACTATCCCACCTCTTATCAACAATTTCCCATATAGGTTCATAGCTACACAAATACCAAATGTAGTATATTAGAAATAAATCAAATAACCACACACAAATAACATAATTACATTTTAAATGAAATAAACTTTAGAAATCTTACCTTTTTTTTTATATTATTAAAGTTGCTCTGAATCCTTTCTTTTGCACAATCCATCTCCTCATATATAAAACCCATGGCCGATTTTATATCAGAATCCACCAATCAAAGGACTACCATAAGAGGGGTAGCTACTTTGAGGCAAATGGTTACATTCTTCCAATATGGACTATCTAAAATTATATTTTCAATTTTTCTTCCCTCTTGTGAAGTTCCAAACTTACTCTTCTTCCACTTTTCAGAGCTAAACATGGTCATCAATGATGCTTTCATTTCATGGAGACAAGATAAAGTCAAATAAGCTGTTGCAAATCTAGTCATACCAGGCCTAATCAAATCTCTTCCTTTTGTAAACTTTTTTAGCATGCTTCTACCATATATGTAGGTAGTGATCCTCCTCCCCTTCTTTATAGTAGTTTGATGAACCTTCAAGTGTTTCTCAAAATCCTAAAATATCAAATCAATGCAATGGGCAGAACATGGGTCCAATACAAGTTTTGTTAAGTTTGCATAAACAATTCTCCTAGTGCCTTGTAATTTGCAGCATTATCAGTAACCACTTGCACTACATTCTCTTCTCCAACATATGCCACTACATCACCCAACATCTTAAAAACTTTGTCATTAGTTTTTGAGATATCAGAAGTATCTAATGAATATAAAAATACAGTACCTTTTGGACTATTCACTAAAAAATTACAAATAGATCGCCTTTTTCTATCTGTCCACCCATCAAACATAATTGAGCAACCAGTTCTCTTCCACTCCTCCTTATATTCTTCAAGTAATAAATTGGTGTTCTGGACTGCTTATTTCAAGAGCTTCTCTCTAATATCATGGTAAGATGGAGGTTTATAGCCAATTCTATATTTTCCAATCATGTCACACATTTTTGCAAATGCTGGATTTTTAATAACATTGAATGGAATGGTACTTGTGTAAAAAAATTCAGCAAATTGAGCATCAACTTCTTCTTTATATCCCTTTTTCATCATTTGATTTATAGTTGCTTGAACTCCTCCTCCACTACTGGTAAGAACTTTTCCTTTTCCTTTGGACCACAACATCCTTTAATTATTTGTCTCTAAGGCCACCCCCTGACTTTGTTGTTCCTCAACTTCTTCTTCATCAATACTATTCAATCTTCTTTTCTTCAATGATGCCTCTTTAGCCTCCACAATAATTTTTAACATAAGTAACTTAATTTCTTCGCACACTGAAGCACAAGGCTTTGAATCTTCTCTAGTCCCTGCAAAGATGATGCTTGAATCTAGTAATTCCTCCACTCACAATCTTTGAGCAATAATTACATTTAACTTTTCTTGCATTGCCGTGAACATCTGTCCCATGCTTCCACCCAATATCTGACCTGTTTCCTAGAGCATTTCTATTTCTAGCAACATAGAAGGCTACTCCTGATCCACTATCAGCAGAATTTGATCCAGTCCCATACATGATTATAGTAGAAATCACTATAAATAGAATCAGAAATGATAATCAAAGTTGCAATCAGAAGCAAGTTAACAATGATTCAATGAATCACAAAAAAATAAGTAAAATTTAAAACCCTAACCAAAGTTGGTTCGCACAGAAGTGATTCGCGCACAGAGAAGATAGCGGAGCCGCATGATTTGCCTTTGTCGTGGACTTGTGGAGAAAAAGACAGTGGAGGCGCACGGAGGAGAAAAAGACAGCAAAGGCGCACAGAGGAGAAGGAGACAACGGAGGCGCGCAGAGGAGAAGGAGACGGCAGAGGCGCGCGGAGGAGAAGGAGACAACGCGGAGGCGCGCGGAGGAGAAGGAGAGCGCGAAGGCGCGCGAAGGAGAAGGAGACAACGTGGAGGAGAATGAGACACGGAGGAGAAGAACACAATGTTTGTGCACTCGTTCGAGAGAGAAAATGAGAGCACCAGTGCCCTAACACAAAACGAGTGTTTTGTGTAAGTGAAAAAAAAAGTGATTTCTTAAACTTGGAACTGATCTCGCGAGATTACACGAGATCATCGAGATTACTTCGAGATTACTCAAAAACGAGTTTACTCCCGAGTTATACAAGTAAGTTGTCCTAATCTCGTAAACTCATACGAGTTTACGAGTTATCACTAGAGATTGACAACCATGTATTTGATATCTCATTATTAAATTCAAATCAACGTATTAAATGCTTTTTTGATTATCTTTCCATTTGAATTAATGAAATAAATTATCAAATAGTTCTTATATTTTTTTAAAAATTTGTAAACTTGATCTATACATAAGAACTTTTAATTTAATAGTTAAAAATCGTTAAAACTTGATGTAGAATATGATTTATTGAGTAAAACAAGTCTAATTAAACTTACTTTTGGAGTGAATAGATCCCTCCTCATATATATATATATATATAATATAATATAATCCTATTTTTGATCAATAATTGAAAGAAAATTACTTTGCTCCTAAGGACATAAGCACAATATCAAACCTTATTAAACCGATATTTATGTGTTTATTTAGGTTCTTTAGATTCTTGTTGTGGTGTAACAAAAATTTAATTATCTAACTAGCAATATTGGCCAACATAAATGTTAAGAATATGCATAAATATATTTTGTATACAAAGATGAAATTTAGTTTTTTTTTAATAAGAATTTGTTATTTATGTTTTAAGTATTTAGATTTAAAGATATTAACAAATTATTTTGACTATTTTAGGCTTTGTTTTCTCTCTTAAGAATAGGATGCTATTGATTTTTTGAATTCTTGTATTACAATTTTATTTTGTATATAGAGAACTCATGAATAAAAATATAACATGCTCCTTTTAAAAATATTTTTATACAAAATACAAATAAAAGAAAACAAATTAATGTTCAATAAAGAGAATATCACAAGACAATGATACAAAATGCATTCCTCTTTTTAGAACAAAAAATTATACTATAGTGTTCTTATGGTTAACTAATTCATTTGTATTTGAAATAGTGTTACTTGTCATCAAAAACACCAAGTGGGTTGAGAAGGCTCAGAGAAGAGGAGTTGGGGCGATTAAGAGGGAATGGAGAAGGGGAGCGCAAGAGCTTTGACAGAATATATGATTATGATGTATACAATGATCTTGGGGATCCCGATTCCAACACTGACCTCCGAAGGCCTGTTCTTGGTGGCACCAAACAACATCCATATCCAAGGCGGTGTCGTACGGGTCGAACGCACTCTAATTCAGGTCATTTATGCTAATGTGACATTTTTCATTTGACCATAAACATCATCATTTAATATAAAAAATACTAATGAGGATGTGTTTAAATATAGTTGGAAATGCTTCTAAAAGTTGGTTAAAATGTACAAGTTGCAATAGGTTTAAATAGTTTATAGGAATTCATAAGTTTAAACTAGTAACTCATTAAATATTGTCATATAGTAAGTCAAAAAATAGTTTTTGTTTAGTTATTCATGGGATATTGGATTTTTTTTTATTTGTTACCACCTTTTTTTTTCCCATCCTTTTCTGGCCTATATATTTTGAAATAACTTTTCATAAATCTTTTATATCAATTTTTTTACTTCAACAATATGAATGTTATTTCTATCAACACGTGTACTCTTCTTATTTCTTCTAGTTTAATAACAAAATCAATTGGAAATGAGATCTTTCAAGTTATAAAGATAGATGCAAATAACATTGATGTGTTTCTCAATGTGTTTGGAACAATAGAATTTTAAGAATAACTAAAAATGAAATAGTAGATATTGGAAAAAATGTATAAATGTATATTCTTTGATGTTTGTTTAATTGTTTTAAGCTTTAAATGGCATAGTAATTAGTTATCATTTCTAAAATTAGATTTTCACTAAGACCAAGTTTAATCTCTAAGTAACTAATTCGTAGCTTTAATCATTTCTTTGTTTACTTTTCTTTTATACTATTTATTATGGTGGAAAGATTTAAAGTTTTGAAGATGACAGTTAACAAAATTTTCTTTTCTATTTTAATTTGTTATTATTGTTGTTGTTTAACAGACCCATCATTTGAGAAGAGAAGTTCAAGTTTCTATGTTCCTCGTGATGAGACATTTTCTGATATAAAACAGTCACAATTCACAATGACATCAATATCCTCAGGACTTAGTGCAATTTCAGAATTCTTTGATGCAATTCTCATTGACCAAAATCTTGGATTTAGAAGCTTTGAAGACATAGACACTATCTACAAAGAAGGGTTTCAGTTACCATCTCTTGAAGATAATGGCTTAACATTTCTACAAAGCACCATTCCTAGGTTAATCAAGACTGCTAATGATAGCAAAAACCTTTTACGCTTTGACGCCCCAGAAACAATTAAAAGTAAGCACATTTATAAATACATTAAAAATGCTTGTTATGGTCTAATATACTCTGCAAATTATTGATCCAAATGTAGTATAAATATTGAATAAGTACATGATGAGATAAACTAATAATTTTTTTTTGGCCCTAGATGGTAGATATTATTGTTGTTAAGGAATATTTTTCTTAAAATATTAACGATTTATGTTAAGGCTTAATATTTATTTTTATTCTCTAATAAGCCTTCTTCGGTTATAATCCTTTGAAATTGAAGTTTGAATAAAGCATAAGGTCACTCCATGCTCTAATGAAATTTACCTTTAGTGTCATACTAGATACTTTTATTTTCTCGCAAATATAGTAATGTATTATTTTATTATGATCAAAGCCTTGAACATTTATGGACAACATGCGTTAAGTACTCTTAATCACTTCATTATTGATAACTCAATACTTCGTTTGAATCTAACAATTAGATGATTGCAGGGAGAATTATGGTTATGTCCATCACCTTTATTGGGATCTTTGGTTAATATAGTGAACCAAAGTTCAAGTGGTTGACAAAAAATTACTTAATATTAAGATACCACAAAATGAAAATTTTTTCTATCTAAGATGATTGTGATTTTTGGAAATGTAGGGGACAAATTCTTTTGGTTTTCAGATGAGGAATTTGCTAGGGAGACTTTGGCAGGGGTGAACCCATATAGCATCAAATTGGTCAAGGTAAGAAATTTTGCAAATATGATTACTACCCTCACAATGTCATTATTTATTAAGGATCTCAATGTTTTCTTGGTATATTTACGATGTAGGAATGGCCTCTAAGAAGTAAACTAGAACCCCAAATCTATGGTCCACCAGAATCAGCTATCACCAGAGAAGTCATTGAACCACAAATAATTGGTTATGGCACAATTGAAGAGGTACCAAAGTATTTATGACTAAAATAAATTTAGAATGTGTTATGTTTAAAAGTTGTTTACTTTCAATACATGTAGGCCATTAAAGAGAAGAAGTTGTACATGTTAGACTACCATGATTTATTTATACCTTACGTAAGCAAAGTGAGAAAGATAAAAGGGACCACACTATATGGATCACGAACATTATTCTTTCTCACTAAACAAGGCACATTGAAGCCACTAGCTATTGAGCTCACTAGACCTCCTATGGATGGCAAGCCACAATGGAAGCAAGTTTTTACTCCCGCTTCTCATTGTATTTCTGATTCAACCAATCTTTGGCTTTGGAGGCTTGCCAAAGCTCATGTTATTGCCCATGATTCTGGTTATCATGAACTTGTAAATCATTGGTGAGTATAATCATATCATTTTCTTCCATATTGTAGTTTGAGTTACATTGACTCTACCAATTGGTTTGAAAAGTTCAAAGTCTTAAGTGATTCAGTACTAATTTAAGTAAATTATCAATTTTTGTAGGTTAAGAACTCATGCTGTCATGGAACCATTTGTCATTGCAACAAATAGGCATCTTAGCACTTTGCATCCAATCTACAAAATACTGCAACCACATCTAAGATATACCTTGGCTATCAATTCGCTTGCTCGTGAAATTCTTATCAATGCAAATGGGATCATTGAAAACTCATTTTCGCCTAATAAATATTCAATGGAGTTAAGCTCTGTGGCATATGATCAATTTTGGCGATTTGATTTGCAAGCACTTCCTAATGATCTTATTGATAGGTATTATATGTATAGATGCTTTATGATTTCTTGTGCTTTTCATTTTAGAACAACATTTATTTGAATTAATTACTATTGTTTTAGAGGAATGGCTGAAGTAGATGATAGTGCACCACATGGCCTAAAGCTAGCAATTGAAGACTACCCTTTTGCTAATGATGGTCTCCTCATATGGGATGCTATCAAACAATGGGTCACGGAGTATGTCAACCATTACTATCCAAACTCAAGCACCATAGAATCTGACCATGAGCTCCAATCATGGTGGAGAGAAATTCGAATAGTGGGTCATGGAGACAAATCTGAGGAACCATGGTGGCCAAATCTTAAAACACCAAAAGATCTTATTGACATCATCAACACCGTAACTTGGACAGCATCTGCTCACCATGCAGCTGTAAACTTTGGTCAATATACTTATGGAGGCTATTTTCCTAATCGACCCAATATTATTAGAAACAAAATGCCTACAGAAGACCCTTCTAAGGAAGAATGGGAAAATTTTCTAAACAAACCTGAGCAAACTCTTTTGGAGTGTTTCCCATCACAAATCCAAGCAATTACAATGATGGTAGTTTTTAACATTTTATCATACCATTCCCCAGATGAAGAGTATATTGGGCAATACATGAATCCAGCATGGGCTGAAAATCTAACTATAAAGACGGCTTTTGAAAGGTTTCATAAAAGACTAGAAGAAATTGAAGGCATTATAGACTCGAGGAATGCAAATCGTAATTTGAAAAATAGGCATGGTGTTGGGTTAGTACCTTATGAGCAAATGAAACCATTTTCAGGGCCTGGAATAACAGGAAAAGGAATTCCAAATAGTGTATCCATTTAAAGACTGATGCATTTAAATATTAAAATATAATTTTTCTTTTACAATATTTGGTTCATTATTCTTCAGAATATATATTGATATTAAAGGTTTTGTATCCTAATTCCACATATTTAGTAAGCACAAATTATATTGTACTATAGTAGATCTTAAATAAATTTGGTTATACAATAGTTTGAAATAAACATTATATTTTCACTTAACTTCATGAAAATTGTATTCCTTTTCCATAAGTGATAAGAGAGAAAACAAAAATATATGATGAACTCTGTGTGTGTAAATTACACAAAAAGAGTAACATATATAAACTATTTATTTAGATACATCAATTACATGTGAACCCTAATTTCAAGCCATAACACAAATCCAATTTTGGCAATACAACAGTCCATCCAATTGATTCAAACAATTTTGTTCTTCAGGATATTCACAACTAGTCGAGAAAGTTAAACATAGATTTAAGTTAAACGGAAACCTACGAGGTCTAGATTCAATCTGTTTAACCACAACCTTCATTATACATATGGATGAGACAAATCACTCTCCCTTTACATGAACAAACAAGGTTTAATATAAGGGTGCAAACTAGCACATAAATAGCCTCTTCATAGTTCATCTTTTAGATAACGGGGCTCTTAACGAGGGTTCCAAAACACAGAAAAAAAAAGGTTTAGATCTAAACGAAAAAGAGAACTTATTGGGGTCACGAGGATAAGGTCCAAAAAAATTAAAAATAAAATTCATTATACTCGAGCCACATTATTTTTCTAAAACATTTTTCAATCATAAAAACACATTTTAAAACAACAAATTAGTCTTCCAAAGCATTTTAATTAAATAAATAAATAACATATAATATTTTTAATTACGAATATTGGGGTGAGAAAGACTCACATTGATGTCTTAGTTCGGTGAGAGTTGTATGTTGACAATAATCCTCCCCACCTAGTTAACCATCCGCCATGTGCCTATACAAGATGTAATGATTTTCAACTTTAATTTCATGTATGAGATGTCTTGTAAAGTCAATTTCAACCACAATATTTTATATTCTTATGTTTGTTTTCTCTAATAAAAAATGAAATAACTGATATTTCTTTTGTTCACTATAATTGGAATATATTCGAATAACATACACCGACAACAATAACATAATCATTAATTGCAATGGTGAACAATTCATAATTTACTCAAATAAATTTCTACCCTACAATCATAACAAGCATAAAATAATACCAATTAAGGAATTGATCCTGGTAGAAAAAATATTTTTAAAATTAGTTATTTTTTAAAATTAATTATTTTTTACTTTTAAAACTGGTTATTTGATCAATTTTAAATATTTAATTTTATAAAAGGACTTTTGAAATTCAATATCCGATAATCGATTTTAAAAGTCCAACTTATAAAATCTTATATATAATTTAAAAGTCTGATATTACAGTTCAAACTAATGTAATTATACTACAAGAAAAATGTAAATTTTTGACGGAAAATTTTCGACGGATATGGATCCGTCGGAAATTTTTGACAAAAATATAAATCCATCGAAAACTTTCCGTCGTAAATTTTTGACAGAAATATAAATCCGTCAGAAATTTCCGACGGGAATTTTTCGACGGAAATTTCCGTCAGAAATTTCTGACGGAATTTCTGACGGAATATTTCATCGAAAATTTCCGACGAAAATATAAATCCGTCGAAAATTTCTTATTTTTATTATTTTTAATTCTTATTTTTAATATTTTACCCTTGTATTTTAGGGTACCCTAGATGATAGGATTTTATATTGTATTATCATTTAGCCTTTGTATTATGGGGAAAATTAGCTTAGGATTTATTTTTGGGCTTAAACCTTGACTTGTGAGGTCAAAGTCCACCTTTTTCTATTTTTAGGTCAAAGGGTATTTTAGTCTTTTAGGAGGAAGGGAGCCCACACTTCATTTAGGGTGTATTTGGGCTTGCATTACACAACCATACAACCCTAGATGCTTTCCTTCCCCTATATATACCCTTGGCCTCCCACGATTACGCACTTTGGATTATATGATATTGAGTGAGTCTTTTGTGCCTTAACATCTTTCCTTAGTCACTGAGGTTCCACAACCTAATTCTCTCCTCTCTTCCAAGAGTGAGTTTAGGGTCTCATTGGCTAGCCTTCATATCAAACCTTGGTGGAGTGAGCCAATCGAAAAAGCATCCATACACCTTCCCACCTCTATTTAACCTATTCGCCCACCCTCATCATCTGGACGCCCAACTTTATTTCATCATCACCCTTGGAGGGAAATCCAACCATTAGCCTCCTTCTAAGCTTGTGAAGGAAAGGAACCTTCTCTCTTGGAAGCCATTGGTCACACCATGGAGAAGAAGAGTTCATCAATCTCTTACGACATAGGTGAGCAACCTAAGTAGCTTGACCCTATAGAATCACAATATTTGATTCCTAAAAAGGAAATCAAGTGAGCAATGTTTAGCATAACTATGCCAAGTTAACACAACATATGGCATACCAATGCCTAAAAAAAACTATACTAATTTTTTTATATTTTGCTACTTAGACTAAGAAAGTCCAGTACCACTATCAAGAGTAAAACATATTAGGTGTAGTCCTACCACAACATTAATATGTATTAATTAAGCCTATATGGAATTAACCTACCGACTACTCTCCAAATATTATAAACCTTTCTAACAATCAGTTAAGGATCCATCGACTTCATGCCTTACTCAAATTGATTGCTTCTAAACCAATATGGTTCAGCCTAGCCCCTATACGGTATCAACTAAGGACTTAGAAGAGACTCAACATTCCATTTCAAGACACAACTATACTCAAGAAAGGTTTTCAACAATCGGACTCTTAGAACACCATAAAACAAATACATACAATGGGATATTTCAACTTTAAAAATAACACATCTCCTTTAGTCATAAGTTCACAACATAGTTCAACATCATGCATCATGCACCCACAACACAGATCCACACACAACAATTTTTCATTTGCATATCTTAGCACAACATTACTTAACAACACGCATTGTGCACTTATCAACATAAGTAGCATAACATAACTTAATAACATGCCCTGTAAATTAGATCCTAAAACTCTTAAATGTGTCTTTATTGGGTATCCTTCTAATAAAAAAGGTACAAATGTTATCATCCTCAGAGTCGCCACGTCTTTATCACCATGATGTCACCTTTCATGAAACACAACCCTTTTATGTCAGCCTACCACTTCAAGGGGAGAAAGCACTTGAAGTGGAGGAGTTCTCCTTCTTGTCATTACCATATTTGTCTTTACAAGATGTCCAAGATTTGAGCAATGAAGCTAACATGGCCCGTAGTGAGGAAGAAGAGGAAAATGAAAAAAATTTTGGCAAAAAATATGAAAGAAGAAAATAACCCATTTCAGCTTTAGAGCAAGAAGAATTGTCTAATCTGGAGATGAGGATTCCTAAAAATAATAGTGAAGAGGTAAGTATTATTGAGTATTTACCCATTGCATTGAGAAAAGAAAGAAGGTCACCTGCTAAATATCCCATTTCTCGATATATTTGCACTAACAATCTCTCTGATAAGCACCGAAGCTTTATTGTTGCCATTGATGCCACAAAAGTTCGTACCTTAATCTAGGAGGCCATGAAAATTAAACATTGGACTCAAGCCATGAAAAAAGAGACGAATGCATTAGAAAGAAATTTATCATTTAGCCTTTGTATTATGGGGAAAATTAGCTTAGGATTTATTTTTGGGCTTAAACCTTGACTTGTGAGGTCAAAGTCCACCTTTTTCTATTTTTAGGTCAAAGGGTATTTTAGTCTTTTAGGAGGAAGGGAGCCCACACTTTTGGAAAATTCTGTCGGAAATTTCCGACGAATATTTCTGTCAGAAATTTTTGACGGAATTTTCTGACGGTATTTTCATCAGAAATTTCTGATGGAATTTTGCGACAAAATTTTCCATCGAAAATATCCGTCGGAAAATTTATTTCCGACGGATTTTTTTTTCTGACCACTTTTTCCGACGAATTGAAATCTGTCAGAAAACAAAAAATCCGTAAAAAAATTACCTGTTTCCGTCGAAAATTTTCGTCGAAAATTTCCATCAGAAATCAACATTTTTTTTGTATTGTTACTAATATATCTATAAGTAATTTCTAAAACAATGAATTAGAATTACTTCCTCATTTTTTTACACAAAGAACAATAAGAAAACATAGCGTCAAAGAGTTTGAAACAAATAAGAAAAATAGGCACAACAAGTAGTTTGAACCAATATGCATAAATGTGTTGATGGAAATATCATGAACCAAATGCCTTTCAGTTAGCTCCACTATTAATATGGATTGTAAATATATAGGCATATATATAAACATTACACTAACAAGGGTTGCACTATAATTATGTGTAATTATTAAGTTAAAAAGATGATCATGGATTCCTCAAGTTTTAATAATAACAAACAAAAAATTTTCTTTCAAGCAAAGTTAAATATCTACAAAGATATTCTATATCAGATGAAATGTGAAAAATATATACATTTGTAAGATGAAGAAAATCAGACGAAATATATAGTCATTAGTACAAAAATGACTTTTAAAATCAGGGTTTTAAAATCGGTCATAAGGTAGCCGATTTTAAAAGTGACGTGGTGGCAATTTTGTAAATAATGGCATTACTTTTAAAATTGGCTACGTTATGACTGATTTTAAAAGTCTCTGACGCTACTTTTAAAATCGACTCTTGAAGAGCCAATTTTAAAAGTCTACTTTTAAAATCGGCTATCAAATAGCCGATTATAAAAGTAGCACTTTTAAAATCGGCTATTGAACAACTGATTTTAAAAGTAGCATCAGAGACTTAATCTACTATCTACGCTTCCATTCTCACCCTAGCTCCATTCTCTACTCTTTGACTTCAATAGTTCATATATTCTTCTCTTTACTCTCTCGGACTCTCATCTAAAGTGTGCAGCTACTCATTTTCTTGGAAGAATACTACATCAAGGTAACATTCTCTTCTCATGTCTCTTATTTCGTTATTGCTGGGCGAATTTTGAGTCTGGAACGGGTTGTGCTGCAAGCAGCACAGCCCG